GGCCATAGCTGCAGCCCGTGTAGGACGGGCAGACGGGATCGGAATGCTGCTTCCGAAGCTTCTGCTTGTTCTGGTAAATGTCCGTCAGGGTGGGCGAGCTTTGCAGTCGAGCTCCTGTCAACAGGAGGGACTGTGGGGACTGGGACTGTATTGCTGAGGAACCTGGCAAGGAGGAACAGAAATGTGATGGGATTCAGGGCTAATAATAATAATAATAATAATAATAATAATAATAATAATAATAATAATAATAATAATAATAAAGTTGGAAGGGACCTTGGAGGTCATCTAGTCCAACCCCCTGCTCAGGCAGGAAACCCTATACCATTTCGGACAAATGGTGAGCAATAGACTTGCACCAGCATTTTTCAACCCTGGCAACTTTCAGATGGGTGACCTTTGGCTCCCAGAATTCCTCAGCCAATCTGCTTTAAGAGGGGTGGACTTCAACTCCCAGAATTCCCCAGCCAATCTGCTTTATGATGGGTGGACTTCAACTCCCAGAATTCCCCAGCCAGTATCCTTGAAGACAGGTGGACTTCAAGATCCAGAATTCTCAGCTAATTGCTTTAAGATGGGTGGACTTCAACTCCCAGAATTCCCCATTCAGAATGCTTTAAGATGGGTGGTCTTTCACTTCCGGAATTCCCAGCTAGCACACTATAAGGTGTGGACTTCATTTCCTAGAATTCCCCAGCCAGCCTGGCAACTAATGTACAGACATTTTAAAGCATGCTGGGTGGGATGTTCTGGGTCCACACGTTTTAAGTTCCCAGGGTTGAGAATCTCTGATCTAGTTGGATTAGATCCTGATCAATGAGAATTGTGGGAGCATGCTGGCTGGGGAATTCTGGGAGCTGAAATCCACTCCTCTTGAAGTTCCAAATTTCAAAATACACTGTCTTCTGTCCTTGACCTGAGGTTTTATTCTTCCAGACTAGCTTTTATGGCAATTCATATCTCCAAACCTCAGCCAGTACTAGAAAGAGTGCAGAGAAGAGCAACAAAGATGATTAGGGAACTGGAGGCTAAAACATATAAGGGTTGCTGGAATTGGGAATGTCTAGTCTAATGAAGAGAAGGATGAGGGGAGACAGGATAGTAGTCTTCCAGTATCTCAGGGGCTGCCCCAAAGAAGAGGGAGTCAAGCTATTCTCCAAAGCGCCTGAGGGCAGGACAAGAAGCAACGGATGGAAACTAACCAAGGAGAGAAGCAACCTGGAACTAAGGAGAAACTTCCTGACAGTTAGAACAATTAATCAGTGTAACTCCTTGCCTCCAGAAGCGGCGAATGCTCCAACACTGGAAGTTTCTAAGAAGAGACTGGACGGCCATTTGTCTGAAATGGTATAAGGTTTCCTGCCTGAGCAGGGGGTTGGACTAGATCGGTGGTTCTCAACCTTTTTAATGCCGCGACCCCAACCGGTCGTAAGTCGAGGACTAAACCAGTCGTAAGTCGAGGACTACCCAACCGGTCGTAAGCCGAGGACTTTCCCTGCCCGGGAGCGCCGCGCATGCGTGGTTCCGCCCCCTGTGCCGGCCGAGGCATAGCTGGCAAGCGGCAGAGACAGAGCAGGCCGACCACCAGCTGGCCCAGCCCAAGGGAGGTAAGGCACCCGCCGGAAAAGGGGAAAAAAATGGCGGACAAAAAAAATGGACAAAAAAATGGCGGACAGCCTTGCTTGGCGACCCCCATGAAATGGTCGATCGACCCCAAATGGGGTCCCGACCCACAGGTTGAGAACCACTGGACTAGATGACTTCCAAGGTCCCTTCCTCCTCCTCCTCCTCCTCCTCCTCCTCCTCCTCCTCCTCATCATCATCATCATCATCATCATTATTATTATTATTCCCTGCTGAGACACCCCCAAATGCAAACTAAGATCGCGTCTCCCCTTTGCTTTTTGGACCTGTGGGTGTAACGCATACAGACCTACACACATTTGTCTTGCCCAGATCTGTTTTTTTTAAAAAAAGCAGTTCCTTTGAACAGGTGCTTTCCAGATGCACTGGAATTAGCAGAAGAAATCAGAATTAACAGTGTTGGAAGGGACCTTGCAGGTCATCTAGTCCAGCCCCCTACTTAAGGCAGGAAACTCTATATCATTCCGAACAAATGGTTATCCAGTCTCTTCTTAAAAACGTCCAGTGTTGGAGCACCTACAACTTCTGGAGGCAAAGTTGTTCCCCTGTTAATCGTCCACACAGTCAGGAAGTTTCTCCTTAGTTCCAGGTTGCTTCTCTCCTTGATTAGTTTCCATCAATGGCTTCCCGTTCTGCCTTCAGGGGCTTTGGAGAAGAGCTTGACTCCCTCTTCTTTGGGGCAGCCCCTGAGATACTGGAAGACTGCTATCATGTCACCCCGAGTCCTTCTTTTCATTAGACTAGACCAGGGGTAGGCAACCTTGGCTCTTTTATGACTTGCGGACTTCAACTCCCAGAATTCCTGAGTCAGCACAGAGTTGAAGTCCGCGAGTCATAAAAGAGCCAAGGTTGCCTACCCCTGGACTAAACATACCCAATTCCAGCGACCGTTCTTTGTATGTTTTAGCTAATTATCTTCAACTTTACTTGCTGGGGATCATGGACAGGAGAGTCATTCCAACCCGCTAGTTGAACCAGCCCGTTCTTTTCAAACCACCGGCTCAACAAAAGCAGAATGAATGTGATTAGGAAAACTATCCACCACTTGAGGGAGCGGAGGAGGCCAAAAAAGAAAGCTCTGGTCATCCCAGGTCACCCAAGTGGCTAAAAGAAGGGCTTTCATCAGCTACAAAAAAATGACAACAAAGCCCGCGCAGAGAGCTGCCCCGTCAACAGGATGTTATAGTCCAGGGAAAGGGCAGCTGGGATGACAGCAGCGGCTTGTCCTCACAAGTCCTTCTAAATGGGCTCACAAAAAGCATCGGAGCACATGTGCGCCCAGACAGACACGTTCAGGCAAGGAAAGATCCCACCGCCAACGTTTACAGATCTCCCTCTCTTAAATGCTTCTGTGCACTTCAGTCGTACAGAGATAGAGATGGGATGCCTAGAGAAGCCCTGTTCTAAGAGGGGTTGGCTACCTAGCTGCAATCTGTCAGTCAGTCTCTACCTACCTATAGATAGATAGATCTCCCTCATCTATCTGTCTATCATCTTTCTCACGTATCTACCCATCCATCATCTCTCTCATCTGTCTGTCTGTCTGTCTGTCTGTCTATCTATCTATCTAATCTATCATCTCTGTATCTCTGTATCTCTGTATCTCTGTATCTCTGTATCTCTGTATCTCTGTATCTCTGTATCTATCTATCTATCTATCTATCTATCTATCTATCTATCTATCTATCTATCTATCTATCTATCTATCTATCTATCTCATCCATTTTCATCTCTTTATCCATCCACCTCTCCCATCCATCCACCCAGCCCTCATTTTACATCTTTCTCATCTCTCTATCATCTACAGCATCTATCTCTCATCCATCCATCTATCCATCCATTTCTCCCCTTCAACTCTCCCATCCATCATTTTTCATCTTTCTCATCTCTCTCTCTCTCTCTCTCTCTCTATCTATCCATACATCATTTTTCATCTTTCTCATCTCTCTATCCATCATCTATCTCTCTATCCATCCATCCATCCATCCATCCATCCATCCATCCATCCATCCATCCATCCATCCATCCATGCATACATCATTTTTCATCTTTCTCATCTCTCTCTCTATCCATCATCTCTCTATCCATCCCTACATACATACATTTTTCATCTTTCTCATCTTCCCCCCACCTCCTCTATATCTCATATCATCTCTCTCTCTTTCTC